GGAGCAGTATATTCTTTCAGCATGTCAAGTAAACATTGCTTACCCAGACCATGCAGGATTACTGAGCTCCCCAGGGGAACATTACTTGGCTTTGACTTTGCCTTGAGCTACCAGTTAAAGGCCTAGACTCTGGGTGAACATGCAGATTTGTGTCCGGCAGAAAAGATAATCCCCAAGGTTGTGGATTTAATGCTTTGCAGGAGATTAATCTGTTTTGTGTCTGACCTAGCAGTCTTATGCTACCCCCACCCCACACGCATCTGCAATAACTATGAACACCCAGTTCCACACTCACTCAGTGACCAGCTTCACCATCCCAGAAGAGGGTGGGGTCCTCCCATTGTTGAAATGTGTTCAGCCTACATTTACATAAGAATCATGTGTCTGACTTTTTGAAATATATACAGTGGTATCTCAGTTCGCAAACTCGATTCTCTCCACCATGCTGGTTGCAAACCGAATTAGATGAGAACTAAATCAAATTTCCCCATAAAGTCCACATTGGACCTAACCACTGAATTCCATTCTGTGCTCACAGGACACAGTTTGTGGCCACAATCATGGAAAGAATCAAGTTTGTGAGCTGGGGTAGCACTGTACCTTGACAGTCTAGATTGGCTTCCTTCAACAAGTAGAGAAACTGAGTCTGGAGGTCAACGGTCAGAGCTCCTCATCCAGTGCCTGTGCTTTTCCACACTCTTCCCTCTCTTAACTGCGTGCTATCCTGGTGCCTGACCTGTCCTTTCCTTGGGCCCCCCTACTCTGTCACTCCATCCTGAGCTGCAGGGGTGGCTGGGAACCCCCTTGGCTGTACTTGGCTTTCCATGACTCCTGCCATCCCAGTGTCCAGCTGCAGATCAGTCAATAATAGCTCATGCAAAGATGATGAGTGATGAAAGTTGGAACCCACAGAGCAGATCTTTCTCACTGTGCTAGTGCCCTGTGGTTTCTAAGATGTTGCTAATTGCTGCTAAACTCCTGCTTTTCCTGCACCCTCTAACAGCCTCCTTCTGGAAAGCCTTGTGTTGATTTCTTCTTTGAAGTTTTATGGAACAGGGGAGAGCCTTGCAGTACACATAATCCAGATGAGAAAGTCTAGTCCTAACCTTGCCCAAACAAACACAGTTAACTACTATAGCTGTACTTCCACCTCTAGGGACTCAACCAACCTTGGATCAAAAATATTTTTAAAACTTTTTTTTGTCTAAACAGAGCATGTAGACTTTTTTCTCCTGTCACTATGCCCTAGACAGAACAGTAGAAGTGATTGACACATTATTTACCTTGTATTGGGTATTGTAAGTAATTTAGAAAAGATTTAAAGTATACAGGAGGATGGGCTTTAGTTATATGGAAATACCATTCCAGTTTATACTTAAAGGACTTGAACATCAGTAGATTTAGGCATTTATAGAGGTCCTGGGATCAACCCTCCATGGATACAGAGGGACAGAAGGACCACCCTGATTCTGTCCTAGGGTTTGGAATGGGGAAGAGATAGCAGTAGGAGGAAGCAGGGTCTTCAGCAAAACCAGGGTCTCCGTGGAGATGGCCAAAGGGTGTCTTAAGTGGCCACAATCTCAGCAGTGAGCAGAAAGTAAGTGGATCCTCGGCCCATATGTGGAGTGTATGGATTAGTCTTCACAGTCCCCCTATAAAGTAAATATTAAACGGTATCCTCCTGCTCTCTGGACATTGCCATCTTTAGTAGGTTTTCTTTAGTGTAAATTCTACTGTATCATTCCCCTGCTTAAAATATTACACTCAAGGTGTGGTGTGCAGGCCTGTAATCCTAGCACTCTAGGAGGCTAAGGCAGGAGGATCACAATTTCAACCCCATCTTGGGCAATTTAGTGATTTAAAAAATTCTTGTCTCAAAATAAAAAATAAAAAGACTGGTGGTATAGTGAAGGTCACTGTGAAGGTCCTGAGTTCAAACCCCAGTGTGCGTGCGTGCGTGTGTGTGTGTGTGTGTGTGTGTGTGTGTGTGTGTGTGTTCTCCTTCCATTCTTGTACCACTGGGTGGAGCAGGTCCGCCCTGGATCTCATCCTGGGCCTGGGCCTGTCTTCCCTAGGAGGGTCCTGAGCACTCTTGGCCTCCCAAGTGGAAGGAAACGCTGGCGAGCCCAGTAGTCCCCTGGGGTACTTAAACAACCCACTCCACCCTCACCCTGTCCCAGAGGGAGCTCTGTAGTGGCAAGAAGCTGGGAGTGGCTTGGCTGATTACTTGGGAGGTGTCTACTTCAAAAGAGAACCAAGAGATCTTCCTTTAACCATCTACAAAGAGTCTTCTAGGAAGCTGGGTAGGTTTTGTCTTGCAGGGTGTCATATGCAAATTTGGGGTCAGAGTTGAGCTGTTTGGGCCTTGGAAGAGAAATGAGCTCTGCCCCCCAGGGGAGCCCTCTTCACACTTCTCCATAGGGTGCCCAGGCTTTTCTCATCAGTGCTGACTTCACAGCTAAGGCTTGACAGGTGCCCAGGCAGGAGCCTGCCTGGGGCCCCCCGTGTGACTCTGTGCCTGTCCTTCAGGCCAGGAGCCACTGGACTCCAAAGGGTGCAGCTCTGTCTTTGAGGGCACTTGGGTGCTGGTGAAGCTGGTCCTTCCAGTCTCTGGGTACAGTGTTGGGTCAGTGGAGACAGTCGCAGCCTGGGAGGGTCTGATGGGTAGCAGGACCAGGGAGCACCTTCCTCCTGGTCCCCTCCAGCCTGGACTTAGACATAAAGTGATGTAGGACTAGTGGCAGTGAGAGCCTCCACCCACGTGATATGAGGGCAGTGGCAATGAAGTATTGGTAAAGAGACCTCTTTGTTTAGCTTCATTTTTTTTTTTTTTTGGTCCAAATTGCCCTGGGCCAAGACCCTAAGTGCTGTACACAGTGAACTGTGGGCATCTTTGCTACTTGGCAAAAAGTTGCATTTCTGATGCCAAATGTTGACACACTGAATTCAGTATCAACGAGGGACCTTTTAGAAACATTCAGCATAACATAATAGACTAATTCATTAGCACCCCATGGGTCTGAATGGGTAGAAGCTGAAGCTCGGAAAACATCGCCTTAAGGAATGACAGATGAAAATATCTTTCCCATGATATAACTGTTATTGCTGAGAAGTGGCATTAATTGTGATTGCTTATCTATTAATTTATTATAATTCTTTTTTTACCTCCAGGCTTTTACCTACACATGACATGTACCAGGGGCTCAGCTGGGGCTGATTAACGCAGGGTTATCTGGGAATGGCTCAAAGCTGGCTGGAACAGATAATGGCAGCTGGGGTAATTAAAATGTCTTCTGCGTGGGAGAAGCAAGTTGGGAGAATTTTTCAGAGGCGAAGAGTCAGTGACGTGAATCTCCTAAGGGGAAGGAACTAAATGCCAAATGCCATTGCCCTCCGAAGACGACCATACCTGACCAATGGGCACAAGGAGGGACAGCCATGAGGCAGAGCCTCAGACCAGTAGGGCTGGAGGGAGGACTCAGGCTGGAACCAGGACGTGTGTCAGGGAGAGGACCCAGGGGGCACAGATAACATGTGGGGGCTTCTGGGGACACTGTGGGAGACCCTACACACACACACACACACACACACACACACACACACACACACACACATGCAGAGTCCACTGCTGACTGTCTACACTTCAGGGCTCTGCTTCCCTGGGAGGGTCCACTGTCCTGACACCTAGAGAGCTGTGGGGAGGAAGGGCTACAGGTGAACAAATTGCAGGTAAGGCCCAGAGCTGGGAGCTAGGCCAGGCCACTGATCCTCTGCGAGACTGGGGCAAGTCACACAATCTCTCTGATTCAGGGCTTCCCGCTCAGTTAACAAGATGTGCAAACTCTGCCCTGTGACCTGAATGGGTGGCGAGGAAAATCACTGGATGCAGGAGGGCTTGGAAACCAGTGATGTGTGCCCAATACTGTATGAGCAGAGGCTCTAGGCCCGGCCCCCGTTCATTAGTGTCAATCACTGTGCTGGGGTCAGGTTGGCCAGGCCAGGCACTGTGTGGCATCTGCCAGCTAGGGCAGCTGGGGTACACTTTATAAAAACTTCCAGCCTGATGAGTTTCAGCAGAGGGCTTTGAAGCTGCCAGAGGGTGTCTTAAGTGGCCACAGTCTCAGCAGGGAAACTGAGACTGAAACTGAAACAGCTCCCAGCTGGAAAAAGTCCACACCCCATTTCTTCCTTGGCAACTGACTTGCCTCTCTGAGCCTCACTTTCCATTTCTGTATAAAACTGTTAAGAGTCACAGCACACTTAGTCCTTTTGGATTTTCAACTGTATAGGGTATGCTCAGCACACAGAAGACAAGCAGGGGTTATTCAATCACTTTATTTAACACTTACATAGTACTAAGTGCCAATTATTGTTCTAAGTACCTTACCAGTGTCATTGCATTGACTATTTATTCTAACAGGCCTATAAAATAATATTGTTATTGTCACCATTTTGTACATAGGGAAATGAGGCACAGAGCGGACTTTGCTCAAGGAATTGGAAAAGTCTCAATCTTAATCAGGCAGCCTGGCACCAGGATCTATGGTCATAACTGATGGCTGCTGCTATGATAATGTGATGGTAACTTCACTGGTTACATTCCACTTTGTATTGTTTCCATCCATCCATCCATCCATCCATCCATCCATCCATCCATCCATCTGTGCATCCATCCCTGCATCCATCCATCCATCCATCCCTGCATCCCTGCATCCCTGCATCCATCCATCCATCCATCCATCCATCCATCCATCCATCCATCCATCCATCCATCCCTGC